AAAACACAATAAATCGAATTGAACGTCGATCACGGTCCTCAGTTCCTTCTCACTTTCCGTCCAGTGCTCGTTGCACCTGGAATATAAATAATAATCTTTAATACCACGAAAACGTTTCGTAAAACTGGCAATTATTTATATATAAACATACTGAAAAAGAAAAATCTACGCTTATTTTCACCTTTTCTTTAAAAGTTTCACTACATGGTAATAAAAATTGTCATAAAAAGGCAGTGCACGAGGATTTCCGTATTGCCGGTAAATAAGAAAAATAGTGCCTCAGAAGAGAAAATTTGTAAATAAAAAAATATGGTTGGCACATTTTATTTCACACCACTAAGTTGAATACGACTTCAAATACTCCGGGAACCTGACGGTTCGACCTGATCGTGTTTTCTGTTGCGCCGATGGTTGTTGCAACTGTGCATTACCAGGCACATCGTCAAGAATTTCGATAATTGAGCCATCCGTCGGTCGGCTGTAGCGAGCTGAAACGTCACTTATAATGGGGTTGTCTTCGAAATAAGCTGGTTTCAAACGGTCGATACTGACAGTATCTTCACGTCCGTCTCGCTCAATTGTATAGAATTTCTTGTGTCGCCTAATCACTTTGAACGGCCCGTCGTAGGGTGGTTCAAGTGGTCGACGAACGGCGTCGTGGCGAACAAACACGTGTGATGTCTTCTGTGAACTGGGGTGAACGAAGACATCGGTCGTTTGAGGTCTAACCGGGGAAGGCCTAGCCGAACGCATTGCGTTTGTAAGCCTAGTCACCTACGATACCCTGTCGGAAGCACGTTCGACAGTTGAAGGAGAAACAAACTCACCTGGTAGGCGAAGAGTGGTCCCACGGACGAGTTCTGCGGGGGTGCATCCAGCATCAGCCTTCAAGGCGTTACGGATACCTAGTAGGACTAGAGGCAGAGCCTCGGTCCACTGAGGCTTTACCGTGCCATTTGCTTCTGGATGGTAGGTTGTCGTTCGGAACCGGGTGCAACTTAAAAGTGCCGTTACAGCGTGAAATAATCCACACTCAAATTGGCGCCCACGGTCGGTTGTGACGTAAGATGGACATCCGAAGTTCGCGATCCATCTTTCGACGAAAACACGAGCAACTGTTTCGGCAGTAATATCCTTAATAGGTACTGCTTCCGGCCATCGTGTGAAACGATCAACACAAGTGAAAAGGTAGGTACATCCATTAGATTCTGGTAGGGGTCCTACAATATCTATATGGACGTGGTCGAAACGCATGTCTGGGGCTAGAAATGAGCCTAAAGGGCTTTTCGTGTGTCGCGTGACTTTACACTTTTGACAAGCTAAGCACGACTGGGCCCACTCCTTAACGTCTTTGTTCATCCCAGGCCAGCAGAAACGTTGTGCGATAAGCCTAATGGTGGCTCGTACACCTGGATGAGAGAGTTTGTGCAACGTATTGAAGACGTTGCGTCGACAACTCTTCGGAACTATTGGGCGTGGTTGACTAGCAGAGACATCGCACAAAATTGCATCCTTGTCTGATCCAACCGGACAAAGTCGCAGTTTGAGAGTTGTGGACGACAACTCATGATGCAGCTCAAGGTCTTCCTTTTGACGCCGAGCTAGTTCAACGAGATCAACACCCTCGATATGATTTATCGAAGCTATTCGAGATAGTGCGTCGGCTGCGGAGTTGTTTGCTCCAGAAATGTGGCGGATGTCTGACGTGAACTGGGAAATGTAATCCAGCTGTCGCGACTCACGAGGGGAGTATTTGAGGGAAAACGTTAACGGTTTGTGGTCTGTGAAAATAATGAAATCACGACCTTCCACAGAATGTCGAAAATGGCGTACAGAACAGTACATGGCTAGGAGTTCCCTACCAAATGTATCTTGTTTCCGCGTCTTGCAGCCGCCTCGAGAAAAAGGCTAACGGTTGCCACTGGTTGTCAGTCAACTGTTGCAAAACTGCTCCAATTGCTGAATCAGATGCATCAACAGCAATACTCAAAGGAGCATTGGGGTCATGATGCATAAGCATGGTTGCGTTCGAAATGGCTTCCTTGACTTTAGAGAAAGCAAGTCTAGCCGCGTTGTCCAGAGACACGAACTTCGCAGTTCCTCGAAGTAGATCTGTTAGTGGTCTCATGACAGAGGCACAGTTAGGGATAAACCTTCGGTAATAACTTACCAGGCCATTGAAAGTGCGGAGATGTTTCACAGTGGTCGGCTCTGGATAGTTTGTGATAGCCGCCACTTTATCTCTCAATGGGCGTATACCTTTGTTGTCAATGGTATGCCCAAGGAAGCTGAGTGATTCAACTCCTATTTCACACTTCTGTAAGTGGACTGTGATGCCATGTTTTTTAAGTCTTTCGAATGCGAGGTCCAAATGTTTAAGGTGAGTTTCCTTATCTGGACTCGCAATTAGACAGTCATCGATGTAGACATGAACAAAATTCAGACCACGGAAGACGTCGTCCATAAAGCGTTGGAATGTTTGTGCTGCATTCCGAAGACCAAATGGCATGCGCAGGAATTCAAACAGGCCAAAAGGAGTAATAATGGCTGTTTTCGCGATATCTTCTGCTGCCATAGGTATCTGGTTGTACGCTTTGACCAAGTCGATTTTGGAGAAAATGTTCATTCCGCATAAGGTTGCAGTCGAATCGTAAACGTGAGGTATCGGGTAGCAGTCCGGAGTTGTTTTGGCGTTAAGCCTTCGGTAATCACCGGTTGGACGCCAGTCGTTGCTATCCTTTTTGGGAACCATGTGCAGTAGTGATGCCCAAGGACTGTTTGACGGTTTGATAATGCCCAGTTCGAGCATGTGGTCGAATTCACTTTTCGCCGTTTGAGCTTATCGGGGGCTAAACGGCGCGCTTTGGATGCCACAGGTGGACCTGTGGTTGTGACGTGATGCATAACATTGCTGGTTATGCACGGAAGAGTGTGCTTCGGTTGCTGCAACTCTGGATATTTCTCCAGAACTGCTTGGTAGGACGCGTCGCCCGATTGTTTAGTTCTAACGATGGCTGAACACGGACCTACATAGGTGGTGCCGCCAATAGATAACTTTGTGTTGTTATCTATCAGTCGTCGACGGCGAGCATCTACGAGTAGATCGTAATGGTTTAGCAAATCTATGCCAATGATGGGCATAGAGACGTCAGCAAGGAGGAAAATCCAGTGGATAGGTTTACGTAAACCTAAGTTGAGGTAGGCATACTGCCTCCTGAATGTCGCGATTGCCTTGCCGTTGGCTGCTTGAAGATTGAAGGATGGGTCGTGATGACGCTCCTTTGTCGGTGCGGGAAGAACGCTAACTTCTGCGCCGGTGTCGACGAGGTAGCGGACTTTCGTTTTAATGTCGGTGACGTAGAGCAAACGGCTGTTTCCGCCGGCTACGGTTGCCGTGAGCACGTGCCGGCGTGACCGTTTCCCGAGTTTGTGTCCTTGTTAAAACTACATGGTTTCCGACATTTTCTGGCTTCGTCTCCGTAAGTGTTATGAAACCAGCACCATTCAGGGTTTTCCACCCTGTTAGGTTTAGTTTTGGGGCAACCACGCAAGTTGCTGCGATGCACTAAGACGCGTTTCTGTGGAGTTCTACGTGAACTAGGACTTCGAGATCGTAGCAACTGCTTAACTGAGTTGCACAGCTTGGTCACCTCTGAATCCTGGCTCTCTGGTTTGTTGTGGACAGAATATACGTTGGAGACGGGTCTGCCAGATATCTCCAGTGTTTTATCTGCTGAGGCTGCCAGGTCATCGAGTGGGACTGACTGCAGTGTCACCAACACGGTTTGCACCGGTTGTGGTAGTTTCGAAAGAAATAGTTCTCGGAAGAGGCCATCGTCGAATGTTCGTGCACCCATAACTTCTCGCACGCGTGCGAGGACTTCAGTGGCTGAGTTGCTGCCTAGCTCGATGTAACGAAGCAATTCGTCTAGACGCTGGCGATCTGTCAGATCACTTTTCTTCAAGAGTGTGGCCTTAAGAAGTGCATAAGGATCACTTACTTCAGGATTAAACATGTGTGCTGTAACATACCTAATTAATTCTCGTGGTAGTGACCGTATGACAGCAGGAAATCGAGAATGAGGATCTGAGACGCCCTGTTCTCGAAAATCTGCCTCGGCATACAGAAACCATGTTTCCGCATTGTCTCGGAAATATGGCACGAGTTGGATCGTGTACATAGTCGGCGTAATACGAATAAGCTTGGAAGTGTGGTCGGACATGAGAAAGTATAGTAAATGGATAAATAAATGTTATCGAAACGAAAACAATATACAATTATAAAATTGAACAGGCTCACTAATTCAATATTCGTTACTGTTCGGCATATGCGATCACGTCAGGATATTTGATCACGTCGGGCTCAACAATTTAGGATATGTCCTGGTACGAACTTCACAGACGCAAAGACCAGTCACCAGTTATTCGGACTTGTTATATACCCACGAATACGAGACCAAGGAAGAACACAATAGCGTAGTCTGATGGAATAGTATATTCAGATGGTTGTGCCAAAATACCGATGCGTTCCAACTTACTGGCTAGAGAGTCGAATACGAGCAGTGCAACGTAACACGACAGCGTGCCAAATGGCTAGGATGCTTGATCGGGTGCCTTCAGTTTAGCGAGTCCAGTTAAACTATCAAGGTCAGCATCAATGTCGAAGTCGTCAAACCCTAGGCTATTGATTTTGGGGAAGTGTGTGACGCTACAATACTCTCAAAAGAAGGTCAGACGAACATTTAGAGCCTTGAGTTACGGATAGGCTGTACTTGAGAAGCTTTCCATCATCTACAGATCAGTGGGGGTAACACTATTTATAGAGACCAGACTAATTAGTAATCGATTATTTCTGTCTTTTTGGATCCATTGGGATCAAGAAGACAACTGTGATCCTTCTAAGCCTAGAACGTACTCCATTAAGACAGGTGTAGAACTAAGGGAACCACCGTTCACTAATTCAACAACACGAAGCCAGAAGTTTGAAAGGACGTCTTGACATTCCGGCGCTAGCTAAGAATATTCAGTGCTGTAAGTGAGGCGACTTTCTGGTGTGAAGTCGCGTCAACGTTGGGGAACTTCCTATCTAGCTTGCGAAGCAAAGAAAGACTTAGGTTAGAATAAATTTTGATGATGGGAAACCCTAAGGACGACCGATTAGGTTGCTCGTACTGTTTATCAGAGTCATTATACCATGTCCGCTTACAATATTGTTGATGCTGCATAAGTTGTCGATGAATTGTGGCTAACACTATATTTCTAGTTATTATCGCCTAAAGTGCAAGTACTCATAAATGTGATGTCACAAGGAGATGACTTCACCTTACGTTTCACTTGTCACTGCAGTGGGGGTGGGTATCAACATGTTCATAAAACGGAACATATAGACTTGCTTGGAACATTTGTAGTGATACACAAACGGAATGGCATGTGTGATTTAAATTAAAGCGCTACTTCTAAGAGCTGTCAGCGCGACCAAATGAACTGTATTTTTACTTTGTTTCACCACAGGATATTCGAGACTGGCCCTAGTGAAACTTCCAACTAGTTGTTGATAACTAAGTAACGGTTTGTCTTTGTTGCATACTAATCGATACTCAGATCTGGTTGATCGTCCAGAGTATATCCCGAATGCGTAGATCGTGAGCTACTTACCGTTTCAAATGTTTGGTTTTTATGTGTGGTTAGCAGTACAAACCTGATGGTGACAGTACCCGTTTTGTGAAAAATGATAGGACGGTATTACGAGGTGTCACCTGTGAGTGTCCTACCAGTGAATCTGAAGTGTGACATAGTCATACTGGAGCACTCACCATCCATCTTGTATATTGTTGAGAGATATCGCCTCAGGATAGCTCACTGTTGCAAAACCAACTTTGTATACTGACAACTTGGTGAAGGGTATTCCGCTAGGCTGTGATGAAAGGAGAATTATAATTTAATGTGCGAGCGTAAAAATTTACTGTGTTCTTACATCAGATAACACGTAGTCTGGACAATGGATCGGTCGGCGACCGAGCACTAGTCACAACACGGATTTAGTGTTGTACTTGCGAAGACTGATTGGAACTATACATGTTGGAAGTGCAAAGGGGTTATTTAGTTGCAGCTGGACGGAGTGTGCGGTTTATGAGGATACCTGGACGATGAGTTTCCGAGATACAACCCTGCTAAACATACGTCCAGAGTTCTACCTAAATTGTTTCGTGTGCTAGGCCATCAGGTTCATGCATCACTTATCAAAGGGAATGGTAGTGCGAGTGGTGACCTGTGAGACAAACGTGCTTGGAAATAACTAGGTGAATCGTTGAAGATGTTGATCAATTTATGTGGCTAAACATATGGAAAAGGTTATCAGCTCTTTCACAGTTAAAGAAACGGAAACGAGGATATATATGATTGTTGTGTTTTCTGGGCTGGATGGTTTAGCGGTGAAACTTTCATCGTCACCCTAGACACCATGATCAGCACAAACTCCAGAAGCAAGTGAGTTGCAAGGAATTCTCTGTAATCAACGTAGTAAGTTGTCCAGGTGATCTCGGGTTTGATCGGCGTTTTCTTTCGTAATACTATTATTGTCAGCATTCGTATTTCGACTGCTTCCTGTCAATCCAAACTTGAAATGAATCTCAGATTATAACTAGGGAATTTCGGATGTAATGATTGATGTCTTCTCTAGGCTAATCGAATAATATCTGCGACCGGTATATCCCCTAACCATATTAGAAAGTGAACTGAAATACTTGAAGATCATCGTACACTGACTGTTTTAGGGAGGGGAGTGTCAGAAAGGTGAAAACTAACAGCAAGCAACAAAGATGGTAAATTCCCGCATCTCGTTTCTATGAGTTTCTGAATAGCTTGAAACCCAGCACGAACTTCAGATGCCATGTGATTATTCAGCTTGTGGCTTAGCTGTGGTCATATATACTTGGTGATGTTACTTAATGGTTTTTAAAAGGTGTCTCTGTGGCAACAAGTATGTTGATATGATGTAATGTGGGTTCTTCACGTACATTACATGCGTTAATGTTCATACTGGAGGTTTCAAAATGGGCGTATAATGTACCCGAAAGGAGGCGAGAGATATTTTCTATATGTAAGTGTAAGAAGTATCTTAGTTACGGAAAGCATAGAAGGGATCTAGGGAAAGTACGACTATGGAGTTAAAACTGGTGGTTTAGCGGATGAATAGGACGTTACACGTAGGAAGCATGGAAGTTCGTTTGTGATTCAGTGTTCGGTTCAGGTTGAAGCAGTTTAATGACACCCATGAAGCTCACTATGGTAGGTATGCAGCCGGGTAGAACTAGGTAGTGGAAAGTCAAACTCAATTGACAGCCGTTTTGAAAAATTCTGGTGTGAAGATTTTGATGATGGACTGACTTTGAGTGTTCGTGCTAATCGCTTCGTCGGATTAGATTATACCAATGGGGTAACGTTTCGTCTGTAGGAGGAGGTTATGGTCTGTAGAAGTAGATATTAAAAACCATTGAGTATCTTTCGAAAGTTTTTCCTAGGCTGATTTGTTAAAATCCATCAACTGCATTTTCATTAGATCTAGTTCTATGCTTAAAGGTTTGTTGGAATAGTTGGACTTCATTGAGTATCAGTTTTCGCATGATGTTGAATCTGATGGATGTTCTTCACTTTATTTGTTCCGTTTTTACGAATGCCTATTATGACTCAAAGAATGACGCACTGTTCTATGTCGGAAATAAGTGAACAAGGTTTGTGCACTTCTTCAATAGAGACTACGCAGATGATGTCTTTCACTGATGAACGTTTTAGCCAAAATGCCAATGTGTGCAAAATCGAATATACTCACTTTGGTGAATTTTATGTTTGCACATTGTGTAACGTAAAGTGCACTGGAAGGAAACCCTTTCTACAGCATATATATGGATCAGTTCACAAAAGGAACTCCAATTCAAGTGAGACTCTAATTCCATATCATGATTTCTTCTGTAGACACATTTTTCGGAAATGAATGCAACGCGAACTTGAACTCTCTTGAGCAGTACGTCCCACATTGCAATGGATTGGGACATGAACGGAACGTACTTCCATCCTCTGAACGTTTGACTTCTGGACAAGGTTGCACCCAGCAAGGATCTGTTGGAGACAATGACGCTTCCTACTTTTGTACACCTTGTAGTCTTCAGTGTTCTTCTAAGAAACAACTGGATTGTCACTTGTTAGGTAGGAAACATGTAAGACGGTGCAGCAGACAAACAGCGTATTCGCCTGTTCAGCGGTCGGACAACGTTGTGTTGCAATCACAATCGAATCAGCTTGTTGACCTAGTGCAAGATTTTTCACAAATGCATACTTCGATGGAGTCAGCAGTTGGAAATTCGAACAACTCAACTAATGCAGAAATGGTTCCCTTTATTAGAAAGATCACAGAACTTGAGTCGAGACTCATATCAACGACTGGTGTTTCTCTGGTGTTTTCATCACTGTCATTTTGCTCACTTCCTCCATGTCAGCAACAAATGGACACAGATGACGCAGTCAGAGCATCTCTTCAACAAAGCACTTGTGACTCATATGAAAGCGAACACTTTTGTAGACACACTGCTTGTGTCTTAGTGCGATCATTGCAGGTGAGTTGGTGTTTTGCCACGATTATTTTTTAGATCTTATTTACACTAGACAAACAACAATTGTATGTTCTTGAGTAATAATAAATGACAACCGAATAAGGTTGCAAGTCCATGATCATGTGCACGTTGGCGTACTGCTCTGTAGGTTAACATCTGTGTGAAATTTGACTATATCAGGCTGGCAAAGTTGACTAAACAGAGCATATTTCGGTTTCATGAATCACTGGTAGATAAATAAATCCTTGCATATATCCACACGATGGTTAAATGAGAAATCGGGGTGGGTTTCTTTGTGGGAAACTGGGAGGATTTCTTCGAGTGCTTCTCGCGTTTTGAATTTTTGGAGGAAGCATCTCTTCTCTAATGATGACAAACTTACTAGAGAGAATTATGCATGCATCACCGAAAGAGAAGCATTTCTTACACGAAACGTTTTGTTATATACAACGAAGCATATGTTTCAACACGGTAGATCATAGTTTTGTACCGTTTTTAATGATCCTGTTTCACATGCTTCAATATTCAAAATGCAAAGCATATTTGTGACCGTGTTTAGAGTTAGTCGTTTTCCTATTTCGTCTTCTGCTCTGATATGTTATTAAAATGAGTTGGGAAGCAAAAGTTCATTCTGAGTTGTTTTGTTTTGGATTGTTGTGTATCTCGAGAAAGTTGTAATCAACATGAGTACGATGGACATTTCATATAGTTTACCTAAAAGTACAAATGCCTGCTACCAAGGTGAAATATCGTATTCTGCTTTGCAATAAGATGAATTATTGTATTGGTAAATGTTTGTTGGTGGACATTTTAGGTTTTGCGTGAAACAAGCTTAATGTCGAAGCCACGTGTATGTTATACAAATGGCACTAAATACGCGCCACTTCACCTTTCTAACGATTGTCAGGCTGTTGTGAAAGCATTGTGCTTATTCACTAGGAATTCAACTAGTCAATTTTAAAACAGCAGTAAACTTGTGTTAACTATTGTCATCTGAGGTTCTGAAGTCAAACAAGTTTTTTTCGAACGCTAAATTAAGCTAAATGGTATGCTTTTCATTGCAGACTCCATCTAACGAGACATGTTTGTGCCCTATAGATATGAACTATAGCACAGAACTTAACTATCGATTCTCATTCCACGAATAGCCGAGACTGAACGATCAATTAATATCAATATAGGACCAGGCATTACTGCGTAACGGTTGAGTTGCCACAGCTCATATCGGTACATCAAGTAGAAAGGTAGTGAGATGGAAGATGAAGAAAAGAAAATTCAGTCAAAAGAAATACAAAGTACCAAAAGAGAGAAAGGAAGAATGAGGGAATGGTGAGATTCGGTATGGCGTCGTTAAAATGAGGATAATGTGTGTATATATACATCTGCGCCACTGACATCGGTTCTGAGCCATATCGCCTAGTCTCCAATCACTGGTTCCTCTTGCCCCACGGACCCCAACCACTTAGTCTGCATCGCCCCACATGGCTTAAAACCAACAATCAGAGACTTCATACATTGGTGCCATGTTTTAGTCTGGCCACCTCGGGCCTTTTTCCAGCCTGAACCCACCTCAGCCAACATTGTGTGACGAGGCAATCGGTGGCTGGGCATACGTAGTACGTGTCCCAACCATCTTAATCGATGAAGGTTCATAACCTCGCCAACTGATTTACCTCTGCTCCCTAAAACTCTACACCTAACTTCTGCGTTACTCACGTGGTGACACCACGGAATACGTCCTGTACTGCGAAGGCAACGGTGGTCAAACACTTAAAGCCTTCTTATATCTTCCACTTTCAATGGCCATGTTTCACAGCCGTACATAAGAACAGCGAACTGCTGTGCAGTACACGCTACCCTTAGTAGACAAACGGATATCGCGGTGGCGCCATAGGTGGCGTAGATGAAGATAAAGTAGATAAAGACGTAAGTGGTGAAAAAGGATAAATGCCGATTCTCTGAAACCAAGTAAAAAGGTGTTTCCCTCTGTCCATTGTGATAGATTCTGCATCAATCATCAGGGATCTATGAGTAGACGTCCTTTGCAATTTGGGGAATTCATCCTGTTGTGCTTTTTCCTGTTTTTCTGGAACGATTTGTTAAGGATTCTGTGGTCCGGTTCGGTTGCCGGTTTGTCGTGTGTCAGGAATGAGGAATGTACACAAATCTTGGCTGGCTCACCGAGATTTGTAGAATGCTATTTTCCGGTTCCATGTGTCTATGTTCGGTTAAGGTAAATCTTACTGTATGATAAAGCATCACTAAAATGTAGAGAAACTAAACGTCATTGGTCTTGTGCGTTTAGTATGCTTGATTCTTTTCAGTTACTGAAATGTTGACAAACGTCTGATTATGGGGGATTACCATTCAATCACATCGGTTGAAGGAAATTAGCTTTGAAAAGCAAAATCAGTTTATCTGGTTTTTCGTACCTGTGTCTATCGGTAAGTTTCAGATGATTTCTGTCTCGTTTACTCACTAAGTAACTACTAACTGACTTACAGCTGTTCATATTATTAGGGACTAGAGAAATGACGATGTGAAATATGACTTAGTACACCTATTTTAGTCAACAATTGTATTTATTTTTACAAGCTTTCTAAAAACTCATTGATTATTATTTCCAACCGTTTCCTTGTACAGCTGTAGTCAGCTAACTGTAAACATTATACCAATTACTTTGTGTTCTAAATGACTGTGTTCAACGTTTGTGATCCGTTGTGTTGTGGACATGCTACTTGTCTGTATGAATGCATTACCGGCAACCGGATCTGATGGGAAGAAAGACTGGTAGTTAAAACGTTGAAGACATCTCATTTTGTGTTCAGTTTACTCAATGACTGACCCACAGGTGAGGAAAAGCATGTGATTCGAATTGTACTAATTTATCTGAGTGACTTTAAAAGCCACCCTGACAACTACTAAGATGACCAGTCAGGCTTCTGTATTTCGCCTGAAAAAGTACTTTTCCTCATTAGTTGCTAGGGTGACCTTTGAAGTCATCGATTTATCTGACGTCATTAAAGCTCAGTTTGGTATTCTTGTGAATTGTGACAGCATACGTTGTCTTGCAGCTACCTATCATTTTGTAAAAATGTTTTCACAAGTAGTTGGTTTTTCGTTATATTTTCCAAGTAGTCTATCACAAGATGGAATATTACTGATTAGTCACCAGTACTAGACAGGGAGAATGGAGGCTGCAGAAAAAGTTATGGTGTGAAGTGATGGTGGTGGTTGCAGACTCTTGAGTTCGATAGTTTTTATTTATCAGTGGTATTACTTTTATACTTTAGAGTAGACTTCTCGGAAGAGAACCGTAGTTCGCTCACTAATTCACAAACAAATTAGCGAGAATGTGTGCGCATGACTTCGGTCCACGGAATGTGAAGAATGAAGTGTTTCATTCTGATGAATACCCACAGTGATACATGTCAGTACACGCGTCTTGTATTTTCTCTTATTTCTGTAGGATAATGCACCGATGATTTTGGGCACTCTCAATGCGGCATATCATCGATCCGAGTATTTTATTCACATCCATCTTTTGTGCACTTTGTATATACAATATATATATATATATATATATATATATATATATATATATATATATATATATATATATATATATATATTCTTCTTTTTTAGTTTTATGAAAAGAGTCTATGTGAAAATCTTGGTGATCGAGATTGACCAGTTTGTGAACTTGTGTGGTTGGCTCTAACTGGATTAGCGTTAGAATGCGTCGAAATTTTCTGTATATGAGAATAAAACTTTTAAAAAAATTTTTGATCTATTTGTGTCAGTTAAAAATTGAACATCCCATTATACTAAATATCATAATCATTATTTCACTGGGTGTTATATTGTTCATTAACTGTTCAGAAAAACTGTATTCACACCTGAAACTTTCGTTTATAGTTCCAAAAATGGGAGACGTAAACACCTTATTTTTATATGAGTAATCAACGGTGTTGTAATAATATGGTCATGGATATCTTGAATTAACCAGCTCATAAATCCTTTTGTTTTTGTGAAGATCTTTGCGATCTGTGATACTCGTGCAGTCCTTTCACCTAGCTGATATAAATGACAACTAGTCTCGTCGATTTTGCATAACTCACAACATTCAAGTTTTTTCTCTTCATCTTCCACTTCACTGCATTTCTAATTGACGTACTGATATGATCTGTGGCAAATCGGACCGCTACGCAGTAATGCCTGGTCTTATGTTAATTTCGATGAATGGATGCATGATAATCACGTGAAGGTTGGATGATAACAAGAAGGGTTGCGTAAGATTTCTAAATCGTTTACCAGGTGCATATAGATTAAAAAGGAGTGAAGACGTCGTAGAGTTAATAAACAATCAAAACATTAGGTAATATGAGTGAGACAAGTTAAGTGGAATAAATTGGAAATGTTTTGTTAAAAGTTGTGATTATTAAGAAGATCAAATGAAATAACACCGGGAACAATTGAATATAAAAACAAAATGATTATGACGGTATAATAGAACAAGGATTGATCTGTCTGATAAAAAGTGGGGGGTTCTGAAAAAACAAAATAGGAACGAAACACACCACGACCAAAATAAGCTAAGGCCAAGGTAGAGACAAAGACTGTACATACTTATTTTGCACACAAAGGTTGGGCTTCAGTTCATGGATGGCCAATGCCTCTGTTGTTTTTAGAAGCTGAACACGGAGAAAACGCGAGATGTTTGAGCGAATTCGGTAGACAACCTTAAAATCATTGTTTTTGTTGGTTGAATGGCTGGGATCGATTAAATGTTCAAGGATAGAACTTCTGATGCATTTCTTTTGACCTTTATAAAACCAGACAGGAATATGTTCTCGTATACGTGTTGACAACAGTCTTTAACTACGCCTCATGTACCTTTCTGCACAGGAGCAGGTGAACTGGTAGATACACATGGAGTTGGTCTATCGAGTGATATTGTCTTTTATGCAAACGGAGAACAATTTACGACTGGTAAAGATCAAGTGAAGTTTGGCTGAGAAAAATTCCTACTAATTGATCTGGAAAGACGGTTTTTCAGGATATTTGGTGCTGCATCACCTTTAAATTTCAGATGCATGAACAAAGTCTTTTTAGAAACTGA